GCGCTTGGTTCCAGCCTTCAGTGCCGATACACCCCGACAGTCCTGCTGATGCGAGGAAACAGAACGCATGACCTTGGAGCAAAAGTTTGCGGCTTCTTACAGATTCCCCAAGAGTCAATGGGCTTGGAGTAAGAATCACCGTTCATTCTGCCGGGATCTCCACCCAGCTCCATTCCCCAACTGAAAGCTCCACTGTGAGGTGACTCTTCCCCCAGGAGGTATTTCCATGGGAAGCCTGTGTTATGATGAACATTAACGATCTGCCCTAGGTAAAAGACCATGCTGTCGCCCAGGCTGACTTTGCAGAGTGTAAAAAAGGTGAAAATGGCTGAGAACTGGACAAGTAACAGAATGCGAATCCCAGGGATGAGTCTGTCTGGTGATACCCTAAACAAAAAGAGCTCTCAGCCATGATTGTAGCTCTGTCCCCATCTCTTCTCCCTGATTCAACAGACGCTCTAGGCATCAGAGTGACACCGAGAGGGACGATCCTGGAATCTTATTATATAGGTTACTGTAGCACATAGGAGCCCTAATCCCAGACCAATACCCCCTCGTGTTATCTTAGTGCCTTTAGAAATGGACTCTGCCCACCACAGGTTTAAATCGTGTTGCCTGTTCACAGGGAAGCTTGGAAAGCCACGTCAAACCCATCACAGAGATCCCTTTCTCAGGCTAATCTTGGAAAAAGAAACCAGTGGTCCCATAGGATGCTAGTGTAGACCAGACTCCCCAAATACTCACCACTCATCCCATCCCTGAATAGTCCCAGCACTATGAGCAATCGGGGACATTATTAGCGGCTTCATACAGAATCTCACTGAAGACGATTCGCAATATTAAGTGCTTAGGACTCCGCTCGTTCCAGCGGAAATACTGCCACTCGGGGAAAACCACCCAAAAGAGAAGAAAATGCAAGCTCAGCCCTGCTTCTGTGGCCACTTTGCAGCGGTGACGAAGCGCTGTTTAGGCAGGATAGAAGGGTGGAGGGTGTAAGAAAGACGGCCCTCATGATGATCAGGTGGGTCCCGCACCTAGAAGAGTTCAACAGTTAAATTTGTGACTGGGCTGATCAAAGAACCCAGAATGATTTCTAAATAGGGATAACTTGTAGATACTCTGTCGAGCCCGCCCTAAGTGAGGAGCTGGAGTTCGGCAGACACAGGGGCCTTGCCCTATTGAAAACACTGAGGTACAGATTTATTGCAACAAATTAATACTTTGCACTGATGTTTATAAAATATCGCAGGCATTCAAACGCAAGTTAAACCTCACAAGACGTCCAACCCCTTTAGGTTGCTATTATCCTCATTTTACTGAGGCACAAAAAGGCCCAGATATGTAAAGGTATTTAGGCACTTAGGAGCCCAAATCCCATTGGCAGGCAAAGTGCCTAATCCCTTTTGAAAATGAGACTTGGGCTCCTAAATCCATTAGATCTTGCAATGCTGAGTGCAGCAACGCCTACATACCTTTAAAGAGCCAGACCTACGTGACTTGTCCATTGTCACAAAAGGAGACTGGTGGGGCTAAGAACAGAACCCAGTTCTGACTCCCACTGCTGTGGTTTAACCACTACACAATGCATCCTCTGAGCAGATGGGGCTGGGGGCACTTTATAGCTAGAACAGGTTTACCCTGGGCCATTCTTGGATTGGCTCAGGCCTGGACTGTGCTAGATCAAGTTGGATTGTGCCACTGGCTCAATTAGAATGTGGAGTACAGCACATCTGACACCATCCGTCCTTAGCATGAGGGAGTCTCATCTGTGCCTGCCATGGGTCAGTTCCCCAACTCTACTGGCGATGGGCAACATAAACCATCCCCTCTAGGCCTATGCAGGCCCTGCTACCTCTCTACACGTTAGCGGTAAGAATACTCCAACCCCCGAGAATCTCCCTAGAGCTTCCAATGATCCACTGGCCATTTGCAGTATTCACAGATTTACTGCTTCCAAAGAAGCAATACATGGCAACTTAACAGTTCCACTTCAGATCACTACTCTGCTTGACACGCAACACTTACAGTGAAAACAAGTAAAAGTTTATTGAACAACGTGTAGAAATTCATGTGATAGCAAGCAGAAGTACTAAAAACATATGGTTACATATAAAATAAAATCATGTTCTAGAACCTAGACACTTTCATGTCTTAGAGAGCAATGCTCACCCAAAGTCCTTGCACCGTTTTACAGCCAGGTTTGGCTGTGAACTTCCATTCATGAGAAGTCACACCGTCAGCTTGCCTCCTCAGTGAAAGATCTAGGGTGTCTATTTGCACCCACGGATATATCAGAATTATTGACTGTCCTTATTCATAAACCAGATGCCCCCCTGCTGGTTGTTTTTTTCCTGTATATTCCTTTCTTGTAGATTTCACAATCTCAATCAGCATTTGACTTTGTCTGTAAATCAGCATCCATTGTGAGGCACACAACCATACAAGCGTCCGGCGAGATGCCCTGCCTAAAAAGAACCTGTCCATAGCATGTCATCTCCTGGTTACCTGTCTTAACTTTAAGATTTTAAGAACACAATTTCCAGTATGGATAAGTAACTCCTTAAATATTATCCGTGAAAACATTTTGAAATGATTATGGAGACCTGTGGGCCACTGCCTCTGAGTAGAGACCTTACATGTCACCCTTTGGTGAACTAATACGCCTCTATCTGACCCAGGGGATCCCTGTGCAACCCTATGCATCCCTTGTGCTCTCTGCTGGTTGGCACCAAGAAGTCCCTGGGTCACACCTCACTCCTCAAATTGATGCAGTAGGGCTCAGCCACTGGCTAATCTGTAGGTGTCGGCTCAGAGCCCCCCTTGCCAGGACAGTGGTGGGATTTTCAAGATTTACAAGCGCACACCACATTGATTTGCAATAGGATTTGTGCTCCAAACTCACTTTGATACTTTCAAAAATCCCACCCTAAAATGTCTTCCTGTTAAATAGATTCCTTCCCGCCAAAGGATGTGCTAAAAGGTCTGGTGCCACTTTTTGCTTTATCTTTTCCTGATTGCTATTTCTTGATCTAGCTTGACCTCTTTGCTATGGAGATTGATGTCCAATACTGAAATCAGAACGACTACACCCACTACTTCCAGTCTGGCAGGGGCAATCAATATCTTCTCTTTGCCAACCAAAAATAACTCAAGCCCAGAGGACAGACTGAGACACTGATTAGAGCACAAAGCAGCTGGCAAAGAAGCAGCAACAGAAGTAAAAAAGGAGGAAAGCACTGAGATGGGTGGTTTTGCATGTTGGGTGAAAAGCTATTTATATTTAATTGGGCATCATGCCTCAGTGGCTGCCTCTGCTGTAAAGAAAAGTACCTGAGAAGCAATAAATAAAAAATTTAAAGAGAATCTAAGTGCAAACGTAGACTCAGTAGGAGTTTTCCAACTCATTACTTCTGACAGGGATTCGCTGCCAGTATTCTAGAGCGACCTTCCACTTTGCTGGTTTGTTAAATACGTGCTCCTTAACTTTGTTAGTCAAATGCCAGGGATTGTTTCTGTTTTACAAGTATGCAAATCCAAACTCTTCTCACTTCAGTTTGCTGCTGTGTGATTACGAAGTACAGTTTGTGTTTATCAAAATTACGCAGTAGGCTTAGCCAGATACCTTACAAGGCTTCTCAATGGCACCTAGTCTCTGGAACAGCCATGAAGTATTTCTGGATAGAATAAGGCATACAAGACAGCAAGAAAATCAATCGCACATAAAATCTGCTAACTGTTGGCTGCAATTTAAGAGGACACTGTCAGGTTAAATATGTTTTCTTTTAAAAAGTCCTATCTATTTTTATTTTTATTAATAACACCTGAAAGTATCAAAGGAACATTTATCTACGGAAAAAACAACCAACCACCACATTTCTGTGAAAATTTTGTACCTACTATTGTCACAAGTACACCTAAGATTACTGAAAGAGGTTAGAGAAAAAAAATTCTCTATTTTTTAATTTGTTCACTTTGTGCGTTTGACAGCATTTTGTGCAGAATCATTTCAATGTCTTTGCTGCTTGAGAGAAAACAATTTTTTTTAAAAACATGCCATGAAAATTGGTAAAAGAATGTAGGGAACGCGCGTTGTTTGGCAATCAGACTAGATTTCACGTCAATGCTGCCCCCCTTTAAAACTGGGTTTTTAAAACCCAAATTACTTTTAAATCATATATGTTGATTGGTCTCAGTTTTCACTTCACTAAGCTTGGACAATGAAAACAGATTGTGTTTGTTTTGCTCTTATTTTGGAGCGCCTGCATTCTAGTAGTTAGAGCACTGAGGAGGAGTCAGGACACAGATTCTATTTCTGGCTCTGCCATCATGTTGATGTGTGACCTTTGGTGTGTCACGTATGTCGGTGCCTCAGTTTCCCCCTCTGGGATTGTGAGAATTCATTAGCTAATATTTGGAAAGTGTTTGAACATAAGCACTATATACCGTGAATGCTGTACAGTATTATCATCATCAGTCAATTTCACTTTCCGGTTCTTGAGTATTACCACAATGCTTCAATGTTTGGGCTGCACATGCTGCAAGAGAATGGTTACATCAAAAATATCAAATAGTTTCCCCCGGAATTAAAAACAAAAACTCCAAAATCTAAGCATAAATACGGACACATTTCTGTCACTCAGGTTTTATACTTTTTTTTAAAAAAACAAAATCAAAGGTTGGAGCTTTCTATCAACCTAGGAGTCATAGGCGCTGACTACATGGGTGCTCCGGGGCTGGAGCACCCACAGGGAAAAATTAGTGGGTCCCTGCTCCTCTGCCTACCTCCCAGCGCATCCCACCCAGCCGCTGCCAAACAGCTGTTTGTCCGCTCCGGGAAGGGGGGGGGGGCGGAAGAGTGGGAATGCGGTGCGCTCAGGGGAAGAGGTGGGGCCGGGGATTTGGGGAAGGAGTCGGAATAGGGGCAGGGAGGGGGCGGAGTTGGGTGGGGACTTTGGGGAAAGGGTTGGAATGGAGGCAGGGTCTCGTGGAAGGGGTGGAGTCAGGGCGGGGCCGAGGCCAGAGAGGGGTTGAGCACCCATCGGCGGGAGCAGAAGTCGGCGCCTATGCTAGCAGTGTCTCTAATGTGACTCGTGGCAAATGCTAGGGGAGCTGGGAGTCAAACAGAAGATGTTGCTATGCCAGCGGAAGTGTATAAACGTAACACTCCTATGTTTGGGAGTGGTGTGAAGAACATGGTGGGTTCTAGCAACAAGACTTTGCTAACCCTGTGGCTAAGGTTTCCGAGTGGCCATTCTTCTCCTGGCCATGACTGATTCTCAGCAGCAGGGCAATTACAGAGAGACACTCTGTGTGAAGAACTTATTTCACGTGAAACGCTCATTTATGCAGCACAGAAATCCCAAAATAGAAAATATACAAATCCAGGCTAAAATTAGTTTCTTATAAAAATGCATCATTTTCATAGCATGCTGTCACTTAGCACAGTGGCATTTAATAATGTGCACGCTTGAACTCCCTCTTCATATTCCACTAGCCGCTACTTCGTCTCCTGCAGTGGGACAGGTTGCCCTGTGCACTTCAGAGACCATGGCAAGTTGAAGATGCTGCCGTATCCAGCAGTCAGTGTCCTTTTTGACTAACTGCAGAGGCAGAGCTTTCACTCCTGAGGCCCAAAGAATGGCCACTTGCCCATTCTGGGGGATCCCTTAGCCAACACTTACATTAAGTATTTGTGGACAAGAACAAGTTGCCCATACAAAATGTAGCTCTCCATGGGCCTGATCCCAAGAGATGCTGAAAGTCTGATTAACATCCACAGCTACTAATGAAGTCAACAGGGACTGTGAATGCTCAGCACCTCTCAGGAGAAGGCCCCTCTTGTTAGTTACTTTTTAAAGGGCTTCCTCTCAAGGAAGGCTAAGAAACACCCAGATAGTTTCTAATGACTTGTCCCAAGAATACCAATTCCAATGGTCCCATGAGTAGCTTTCTAGAGAGGGAACCATGTGTTTCTGGGTGTTCTCCTGCCCTCCAACGTGACTCACAAGCAGAGCTAGGTTTTGAGGACGTCTCCATATAGCAACTCTTGTGCTGTTTAATGAGTTCTAATTCCATTCGCTCCCAATGGCAAGAATGTTGTTTCCTCTCTGGAAATGCCAATAGATCAGAAGGAAAGAAACAACTCATTAGCTCTGCCCCTTCACCATTAGCCAAAACTAGCAATCAGGATAACTTCTTCCGCGAACTGGTGTCCACATCACAAAAACCACCATGCATCTAGGAGTGAATGGGCATTCCATTCCCACCTGCTGCCCAGAAGTGGGCTTTCCGGGTATAGTAGTGGCAGTGGGAGGTGGAGGCAGGGTGCATAAAGCTTGCAGCGCCACTTCAACTGCTGTGTGGACAAACAGAAGGCAGTCTCCACTGTACCAATGACAAGCATTAAAATCACATACGAAACTAAAGCAGCAACAGAATCAGCTAACAGCAGATGCTTACCCCTAACAAAGGCACTTGTACTGGCATATTAAGCCATAGCAAGAGAGAAGAGGATAACACCGTGCAGTCTATACCACTCTTCTCCTCATGTTATTGGGATGTCCTCTGGAATCATGAAGCTGGAAACAGCTGTTCCCATGTCAACACATTGGGGTATGTGTGGGGAAGGTGGGATTTGAGGTGGGGGTGAAAGAGTTGAAACTACATTTTCAGAATCCCTATTTACAATTCCAGATCTATTTATATGATAAAAACAGTAAATATTAAATGATCCTCTTTCAGAAGAGCCTTTTATATCCACTCAGCTATGAAGCCCAAAACTATTACCGTAAATCCATGGGAGAAGGATGTGTGTGCTGTAAAACAATTTTGTGATGTATTCTTGTTATACTCGTCCTCTAGTCTAAAACGTGCTTTGGTCTAATCTGAAGATGCTGCGCAGAAGAACTTCAGTTAAACTGGGAGGAGAGTCTGTCCCTTCCCAAGGTTGGCTGGTCTCTCTTCTCTCTGACACAGAGTACCTCAGCGTCCCCTGTAGCAGTTTTGTGTCCTTCATGCTTTCAACCATCCATGTCCGTGAATTTTCTCTTCCTGTAATTCTGCACCAGGCTGGATGCTGTGATCTGAGAAGCCTGCCCCTTCTCCCAGCACTGAAAGTCATTCAGCCCTTTCTGGCCAGCTCGAAACAACGCTCGTTCCAGCTCATCCAGCCGTGCCACCAGTGCAGAGGTGTCCTCATTGTAGGCATTCTGGGAGGAGTCCATGATGCGACGGAAACGGCCAATAAATGTCTAAGGGAGAGAAGCAGAATTACCAATGGCTAAGGAAGATTCTTCTTGAACTCAGGTGCTAGAGGCCTTTGCTTACGGAGCTGAAAGATCCAGGGTTCTAGTCCCTATGCTGTCTGTATGTACGCAGCCAAGGATTTGTTTTGGGCTAGCACCTGACTGCTGGTACTGAGCTCGACGTACTCAAGGATAAGCTTAACCTAACTGGGGTGGATGGATGAGTATACAAAATCCTGGCTAGAAAGTATGTGTATCACTGGGTGGAATTAGTTTTGGTCAAGCGTGATTGTTGCCTTCTAGTGGCTGGCCAAGAGAGGCTACTAAAACATAATACAACTATAATTCCACCTCCATTCAAGTGGGAGAAGTCACTGGTTTTGGAGCAGGGGGCCTTGCTCGGCTGCAGGCCATTAATCTGTGGTCATGAAGGAAAAAGGGTTAAACTCTTGATAATCTTTGGAAATTGGGTTTAAGATTACTTGGGAAACTATGCTTTTAGAAGCACCAGTCTCAAAATATGACTGGGTTTTATTTATTATTTCTAGTATATGCATTTATTTGGCATCTAAAACTTTGGTATTTGGGTGCTCTACAAGCACCAAATAGAGACTTTCAAACTCTCAGTGAGCGCTCTGAAATTTAGTCACACATTTCATTTACACTTCTTTGAACGTTAGTTTATTTATGCCATGATCTACAAAACCCAACTCATTAACAGGGAGGAGGGACACTGTGGTGAGGCAGATCCTCACTCCAGTCAGGAAGGGGTTAAAGAGCTCTTCTAGGCACAATCAGCACCCAGCCCAGCACACCAGCGAAGCCTGTCAAGCCTGGAGATGAGCAGGTCCTTACAGGGGAGTATCCCTGCTCAGGGCAATGTGGCACTCAGAGGAAAGCAGAGCCCCCGAGGCTCACAGCACAGGGGCTGCTTATGAATCTCTGCCAACCTGACCCTCTGGTACGGTAAAAGGACCATCTTTACCTTGTTTATTTTCTATTACAGTCCCAGGCACTCAGCCTGAGCCCCTCAGACAATTAAGACCCTAGACTCCCCCCACTCTCTTCACAGAGACTATTTAACTTTTGCCTTGTAGAGAACAATGGGGTGAGCCTGTACTGCAGGATTATTGTTTGCCTTTTTTGTTTTGGATGCTGTTATACCAAGAAGTGAGCATGTAGGTGGGGGAGCAGCGTCCCTTAGATATACAACGAGAGGACTAAACGCTGCACTCCGAACCAACAAAATCGTGATGCGTACAGCCAGAGAAGGATATCTGGGACCAAAGAGGCGCACCCTCTCACCCCAATGGGATGCTCCAGAGGTACAATCTCTGACAGATGCTTTGCATATTCTGTTACTAAGAAGTGATGCATCAAAGTGGTTCCTCTTCTAGGTGACATCATGTTCCTTGTACAAAACTCACAGGACCAAATTCGGCTCCTGGATGAATACATGTGAATCTTATTGAATTTTCTGGTATCTGAATATGCACATCTGAGGCCAGAGGGCCTGATCTTGCAGTCCTTACTCAAGCTAAAATCATGTTTTTACATGTTGTTTACAGCAAAGTTGCAGGAAATATGGAGGAGGCAGCAGCAAAGAAAAAGGAAACCAAATCTACCAAAGGAACTAGATTTGGTTCAAATACTTGCCTGCAGTATAGTCTGAGCTATCTCTGGATTCTCTGGATTGTCAAAATTCAGGAGCTGGGAGCCAAAGCCATAGTAGTATGGCCCCATTTTATGCAGATCAACCACATTGGCATCAGCACTGAACACTGTCCGCCAGCCTTCCTTGTAAATCTTGGGCAGTTCCACTGAAAGTATCCTCCGTTTGTTGTCATACAACCCTTTTGCTAGCCACAGGGGTATTTCCACCTTTGAACCCTGCATTCACACAACAGAAACACCCCACACCCCCCAAAAAAATAGGTAAATGAACTCCGATCAGGATAACAAATAAACATGAGACTCAGATGAATACTGAAGTTTCACAAGGGCGTGATTTTATTTCAGTCTACAATAGTGGAAACTAATGTAAATCATAGATTTTTGGTTGTCACTGGCGAAGTCCGTAGGCATGAAATTTATGTTAGAATGAGTGCCAAAGTATGAGGCACAGAAAGACAGCTGCATGTGTAACATGTATATATAAATAAAAAACAATATTGCAGTGTAAGGAAATTTACAAGGAGAGTCCCTGATCCTGCAGACACTTTCACATATGTCCGGTGGCACCTCAAAGACTAACAGATTTATTTGGGCATAAGCTTTCGTGGGTAAAAAACCCTCACTTTGAGGTTTTTTACCCACGAAAGCTTATGCCCAAATAAATCTGTTAGTCTTTGAGGTGGCACCAGACTCCTTGTTGTTTTTGTGGATACAGACTAACACGGCTACCCCCTGATACTTTTCACATACACCTCTACCCCGATAGAACACAACCTGATATAACACGAATTCGGATATAACGCGGTAAAGCAGCGCTCCGGGGTGGCGGGGCTGCGCACTCCGGCGGATCAAAGCAAGTTCGATATAATGCGGTTTCACCTATAACGCGGTAAGATTTTTTGGCTCCTGAGGACAGTGTTATATCAGGGTAGAGGTGTATGTGCAACTTTGCTCATGTGATTCCTCGCAATAGGATTACTCCGGGAAGTAATTTTACACATACAATTTATTTGCAGGGCACGGTCCCTAGACAATAACCAGAATTTAAACTAAACAGCTACCCAACAGTAACTACATTCCCTACCAAAAATTCTCACTTCACTACAATATTTAGTGGGCATAACATTGATAGGCCCTTAAAAAAATACCCCAGCCACAGTAATTGCATTAGTAAATGCATTCCACAGGCTGAGGGTATGCTGCATAAATAAGTACTTTCTGATAGTGGTTTGAAGCGATATTACCCTTTAGTTTCACTAAACAGCCCACAGATCTCAGATCAGACTAGGGGGTGGGGTAAGATGGGCCCACACAGAGCAGTTTGCAGCCCCTCTGGTCTTTAATGCAAACGGGCATAGAGTCTACTGCGATGTATTGCACCCAAGGCCAAACCTGCCCCCCCGAGGGTGAAATCCCGCCTTCGAGCAGAGACCTCCAGTCACCCCGCCCAACACCGAGCTCACGGGGCAGACTGCACTTCCCAGCATGCCCCGCTCCACCCCTCAGCTCAGCCCTCGGGCAGAGACCCCGGGTCTCCTCATGCCCGAGCCCCGGCGGGCAGATGCAACGCGCAGCTCCCGCCCGCCGGTCTGTCACGTGGCCAGGCCCGGTGGCTGCCGGGAGCTGTAGTCCCCGGCGGCGGGTTACCTCAGGGATGCCGTCGCTCTGGCCGGCGCCCGCGCCCTTGCCCAGCACGGCAGCCAGGCGGGGCACGGCAGCCTCCACGCGCCCCGGTAGCTTCTCCTGGGACATCAGGATGTCTTCCAGCGAGAGGAAATTCTCCTCAGGCCCCAGCCCGGGCCCCACTGGGAAATAGGCTTCGGCCATGGCGGGGCGGCGGCGCGCTCCAACCCCGCGGCTCCCGCTCAGCCGCTGCCAGGCAGAAGCAGCCGCTAGGCCAGGGAACGGACAACGCGCATGCGTCCCTTTCGCCCCAGGCGAGAGCAATCGAGGGGAGAGGGTGTGCGCGTGCGCGTGCGCGCACGTGCCATCAGTCCCACGCTGCAAAGAGCCACGATGGGGGCCTGTGCCGCTGGGAGTTGCAACTTGCGAGGCCAACGGTGTGGCACCCCGGCCCTGCCCGCTGGGGGAGGGGCGCTGCTTCCCGACCCCGCCTGATGGGGGGGGTCTCCTCCCCCGCGGGTGCTGCACCCCCGCCCCGCCCTGCCCGATGGATCGTTGCGGGCGGCGCGAGCAGGGGCTGGCGGGGGCGCGTGCTGCCTCATGACCCTAGCGGGGGCGGCCGGTAACCGACAGCGCCGCGGCGTCGAAGCGCGGGGCCGGGGCCCGGGCCCAACGGGAGGCGGAGCATGTGAGGGTGAGGCCCCCTGCGGTCAGTAGGGGGCTAGGAGGGGGAGCTCCCCTCGGACGGGGGGACCCCCCAATACTCAGTGATGTGCTTAGGGGCCCCCAATACTCAGTGATGTGCCTGGGGGACCCCCAATACTCAGTGATGTGCTTAGAGGCCCCCAATACTCTGATGTGCCTGGGGGACCCCCCAATACTCAGTGGTGTGCTTAGGGGGCCCCCAATACTCAGTGGTGTGCTTAGGGGGCCCCCAATACTCAGTGGTGTGCTTAGGGGGCCCCCAATACTCAGTGGTGTGCCTGGGGGACCCCCCAATACTCAGTGGTGTGCTGCAAAGACACAGTGTATAACAGCTTTAATTCTAAACCAAACGGACCCACTGCTCCCTGCTCCCCCCCATCACCAGCTCTGCCCCTCCCATTGCACCCAGCCTGGCCCCTGGGGACACCAGCCGCCCTCTGGGGATACCAGGCCCCTGGCTCTTCCCAATGCCCACATCCCTTCCCCCCGCCCCCCCCGGTCCAGACGGGCAGTTTGCATTTGGGTTGAATCCAGCCTTGGTCTGGGACAGGTTGAGTCGTGATGTCATGAAATGCCTGCATGAGACAACGCCACCCCCTTGCCGTGGCGTAATAACATTGCACTGGCAGGAGGTAGTGTTCAGGCTAACCTCCAACAGCCCTGCATGCAGGACCACTCCGGTGAAATCAGGACAGCCATGTAAAAGCCCGGCCTCTTGGGAACCTCTCGCTCCACTACAAAGTTGTGAAGAAAGGACCTGGGAATGACATGGTGCACCGAAGAGTTCGTCGTGCTGTACAGACACGTAGGAAGACAGTCCCTGCCCCAAAGAAGTTACAGTTTGTTTAGATTTTTAAACTCTAGGGAGAAATTCTGGCAAAATTCTCATTGACTTTAATGGGACCAGATTTTCATCCCTAGTGAATTTAAATTAAAACTAAAAACATATAATTCAGAAGCTTTAGACTGCTCTGTCTAATTTGATGGCAGATCTGTTCAGTGGAGCTGGTTGGCATGAGAACATACCTCCATCCCATAAACTGTACTGGCTTCCCTGATGCAAGTTATTTTTAATTTAACGTAAAGCCTTCTGGCCTAGAATCTCAAAGGTATTTAGGCGCCTCACTCCCATGGGAGTGAAGTGTCTCAATACCTTTGAGGATCTGGGCGTGATTTGGCATTTGTCTGTTTTAAAGTGTGGCCATCTCCTGTGTGATGGCTGAAATCAGCTGGAGTGTTTTTGCTGACTGTCTAAGATCTTGATGCAGGCAGTTCTTGGTTGGAAGGTCCCTGTCTGTGGAACTTTCTCATTCAGGCAGGTGTCAGATCTTGAATTTGTTAACCTTCAGCATGTTGTGCTAGGCTCATCTTTTCAGCTAAGCCTTTGCCGACTGGATCTAACCAGAGGCACTGGGACAGGTTCACACGGATGCAACCCAGGTAGTGGGTTGCTGACAGCAGAAAGTCAGCCTGGAGAAGGGGCATAGTGGTACAAACCATCCTTGCCTCTCTTTCCTTCCCTATCAGAACCCTAGAGGAGAGCACCTGTGATATCACAACTGCCTGTATTTGAGGTTTGAATCTTTTCTTCAGTGCAGCCACTCTGACAGGCACAGGGGAGCTGCAAATTGCACTCCATTATGCCCAGGGGGTGAATCTGGCCCTATCCACAAACTGTATGAAGACCACAGTGAGTATGAATTGGATCTGTGTGGTTAGGTATTCCTTTTTTTCTTTGGAGTGGAAACAAGGGTCATTTTGCTTAATAAGGGACATAATGAAAATCCAAACAAATTAATATCTGTGCTAATTAGGTTTAAGTAGATCTTAATGATCTCTGAATGCCAACGATTTAATTATTAAATTGTTTTCATGCAGAGGCAGAATATTGGATTTGAATTCAAATGCCACATTCGCTTTAGTGCTATAACTCAATAGACCAGAGATAATGCTTCTAGGTTAAAATCACACTCTTTGGGCCAGATTTTGATCTTGGGTAAACAAGTATAACTCCAGAGTAACTGCACTGATTTAACCGGAGTTACTCCAGACTTACATGGGTATAACTGAAAGCAGACTTCTTTTGTCCTTGTCTTGCTTGTTTAGAAATTTTAAAATGTTTTACATTTTATTTGGGAATTCATTTTTTTCTCTTTGCTTAATTAAACCTTGTTTGCCCTGCCTTTAATTGTGCACGTTGAGAAATAAAACAACTTCAAAACCCCTGTACTATTACTAAGCACAGTAATCTATAAGGTAACAGAGCATTTATATCATTGATAAATATTTTACTTTCCTTGTATCAGGGTTTATAGCTATGTTTATCAGTCTCTGCTCATACAAAGCTTTGAGTAGGTTTGAAAGAAACATGAGCATCGGTACACCCGTGGGAAATGGGGATTTGGGTTGTTCCCACAGTTTTTGATTACTTAAGCAGAATGATATTTTTGAAACTCACTCTGTTTCCCTTCCAACCAAAGACATAGTGGCAAATGGACCAGGAATGAATCAAAGGTATGGGGTGGGATTTTGAAAAACATTAAGCCGCTTTCAGTAGGAGTCAGGGCCTAATTCTCATCAACATTCTTGAAAATTCCATCCTGTTTTTAGTGTGGTCTGTATTAAAGTTGAAGGGTGGTAACTAATGTAGCCAAAACCAGACTAATCTGAAAAAAAGCCTGAACAGAAGAACAATATAGGGAATACTGTGATCATAAGACTTTTTCAATACATTTTAATGAACACTGGCTCATGATGATTTAGCCATGAATTGCAATATTTCTCCCTAGTGGTTTAAAAATTGACAGCCTCAGATTCAGTGTGAAAGACTGGTGGCTCTCATCCTCTCTTTGAAATGTAGCTTTAAGTTTAGGTCTATATTTGGTCCCCCATTGAATTTGTCAGAGATTGACTTTTCATTGATTTTGAGCCTCTCCGATTGTACCACTCTTACAATTGAATACAGCCAAAGTTTTAGAGTAAACTTGGCTTGGATCCATGAAAAATATATGGCCCCAAATAGGTTCATATATTTATGGGATCAGATTAGCAAAATGTGGGGAGCTTTTCAAACATGGGTCCTAGCCTGTCACACCTCCCCCAACCTCCACCTTTGATTCTGGTTTAATCTGGCATGGCTTGTTGAAAGAGTGAGTGGGGAAGTTGAGTCTGCTCCGTGGAATGGATCACCCAGCTGACCGTTTTTTGTGCAGAGGGTTGGGATTCTGTATGCCACTCTTTGTTTTACTGGGAAAAATAATAATGGAAATGTATAGATTGAACTGGGATTATAAAAAGTGTGTGTGATTATTTCCCATGAACACTTGTTTTTTTATCATCTTTTGAGGGGTGAAATCAGTCATTGCACTTGCCAACTAAAAATCTACATTTGAATCTTTCAAGATTTCCCTTTAAAAATTCATATATATCAAAAAGAGAAAGAATAAAGGAAGAGATTTTGCAGTTCATGACTAACTCCCCGGTCAATGTCACTTTTTTCATTACTTTTACATTCTTATGATCACAGTGTTCTCCATGGAGCCCTCTGCTCAAGCTGGTTTCAGGCTGGTTTGATATTGTTTTGACTGTGTTAATTTCCACACTTTTATTTTGATCAAAATCAAACCTGCTAAAACAGCCAAATTTGCAACACTTTGTTAAATCTTGTATTATCTATTTTGTTCAAGGAAAATGTCATCAAAAGTTTTTTTTAAAGTACAAAATGTTGGGCTAAGAATACACACTTGGATTATTTACTCATTGCTTAGATACCATGGTAATAGGAGCTATACAAAAAACATAGGTAGATAAAAAGTAACAGTTTTTTGTGAACTCCAGTATGCTGAAGTTGTGAAAATCCAAATGAACCTGATTTGTTAGTTAGCTGAGTAGAAAGGACATACACAGACCAAAGAGCAGAAGGAATATCTGCACACGTGTATGCGAATATGACACCCATACTTTGCCAGTTTTAGAAAGTCTCAGGTACATTAAATCTTTGCAACAATGCAATGCACAACTGAAGGGCAAAAACCAACACCAGAAAAAAGATTCACATAAAAATGAAAAGGTCAACATTTTGTCTTTTCCCCTAGTAAGATTTCAAGTTTTCATCCATTGTACAGAAAACAGTTGTTATATTTCAGATAGAAGTCTTAAATATTGTCCTTGATTTGTGATGAGACAGAAAAATTTTGGAATAATTTTATTTCCATCCTTGCACATTTTCCAGAGGGCTGGTATAACAGATTTCAAGAGTCCTTTTTAAAGGACAGTTTTGGATGAAGAGTCTAATTGACAAGACTGGACTAAAAAAAAAATCCCTGTTTAATCGGGTCATAGGAACAACGTCTTTGTGCTGAAAATGGACGTTTGCAGAGATTGTGAAAAGGGAGGATTGTACAAATGGAGTCATCTCTTTTTATAGGGTTTGGAATCAAAATGTCCGGAAAGAGAAAAAAGAAAATTAATATTTCCATCAATCCCGAGATGCCTCAGCCTGAAATGAATGATACTGAAGTGAGACAAGACGACCCAGAGAGACTGAGGTACAGGGCAAACACAAAGATAAAGGAATCACATAATTTCAAAGAA